GTGTGTGTGTGTTAAAATTGAATTTCCCTTGCACAAAATTTAATGACAAGTCACGCAATCATTGGGTTAATCTGTTTTAATTTTTACACTTGCCTTAGAATTGTCAATAGGGCGTTATTATTTCTCAAATATTTTGCTGATTGAATTTCCATGTATAGAGAATATGGCTTATCTAGTTTCTATGTATAGAGAGAATATGGCTGATCTGGTTTCTATGTAAAATATGGTTGTGTGTATTTCCTTTCTTTTCATGTACCTAACTATGTGTATATAATAGAAAACCTATCTTTTTTGAGGTGGCAATTCGAATCAAATTGATATGGTATCAGAGCCACCTAGTTTTTCCTCGGTCTGAGTCTCCTATTCTTTCTTCAGTTCGTCCTTCATAGCCTCTAGTCCTCTTAGGCATTTCTTAGTTGTTGTCTCCTATGGACAGAGATGATAATCAGTGTGTCCAGTTCACAGGCAAGAACTACATCACGTGGGAATTTCAGTTCGAAAGTTACCCTCGTGGTAAGGATTTATGGCATCATATTGATGGTTCTCCACTCCGCAACCCTCTGCTACTGCTGCTACTGTTGTGAAGGAGAAAGGATCGTAGGACTCTTTGAGTGCCACTTGGGCTGTCCAAGATGCCCAAATTCACTCTTGGATTCTTGGCTCTATGGAACCTCGCATTCTCCTTCATCTTCGACCCTACATGACTGGCAGTACCTCGGTAGCGTCTATTACCAAGATAACTCCACTTGCAACTTTCAATTGGAGTTAGATATCTGTCTCAAGGATCGCTGTCCAGTTAGGATTATTACTCACAATTCCTGAGTCTTTGGGCAGATTATTCAGAAATTATTTTGGTTGATGTCCCAACTGCTGCACATGCTGCTCTTTAGACTGTTCATCTCAACATAAAGCGTAGTTAATTCTTGATGAAATTACGGCCTAAATATGAAGCTGTTCACTCCTTTTTACTGAACCTACCCCTCTCCCTTCCTGGGAGAACTTCTTTGCGAGGAGCCGCGCTTGGCCATTCAAACTAGCCTGCAAGATGTTCTCCTATGAGCATGACCTATGCTGCCCATGGGAAACCTCGCACCTGTGATTTCATCAAGACACGATGCTATTCTTGCAAACAGTTCGGGCACATTGCCCCTCAATGTCCCAAAAAATCTTGCAAGTACTGTAATAAAGACGAACATATCATCAAAGAATGCCCTATTTGACCTCCAAGACTTGTTTCACGAGCTCTGCAAGCTGTTAGTGTTCCAACTGTTGATTCTAGCCTCTAATCCATTGCTAACCCATCTGCATCAGCTGCTGTGATACCGCAGGGTATACCTGTCCAGCCCTCTTTAATGCCTGAAATGCTCCAACAAATGATTTTATTTGCCTTTTCTACGCTTGGACTGCAAGGTCAACACCTATCCTCACTTCCTTGGTTCTTGGACTTTGGTGCTTCAAATCACATGACTAATTCTGCCACGAACCTCAGTAATGTTCATCCATATACTGGTTCATCCTCGATTCAAATTGCAAATGGCTAACATATGCCTATTAAGGCTATTGGTGATATCAATTCCTCTATCAAGGATGTGTTCATTGGTCCAGAACTATCTACTAATTTGGTTTCTGTAGGCCAATTAATTGACCAAAAATGTGATGTTAACTTTCCATATGATGGTTGTTATGTGCAGGAGTAGGAAACGGGATAGCTGATAGCGTAGGGGCTTAGAGTTGGACGCCTTTTTCCGCCACACTTTTCTCCTTCGAGTGCAACATTGCCTTCATCTTTGTTTTCTCTTGCTTGTAATGTGTCTAATAACTCTCCTATAGTATAGGCGTAAGAAGCCTGGCCATCCTAATTCTACCATCTTAGCTCATTTGTTGAATTCTGGTTTATTGGGTAATAAGCATAATAGTTTTGCGTTTTTCATTAATTGTTCTTCTTGCAAACTTGCTAAAAACAAAGTACTTCCTTTTCCTACATCTACTAGTCGTGCATCTAAATGTTTTGAACTTATTCAAAACGATGTTTGGGGATTTGCACCTGTTATCTCACACGGTCATGTCATTACACTCCCCAACAGAATAGAGTGGCAGAACGTAAGAATCGCCATCTTCTTGACATAGGTTGAGCCTTATTGTTATATTCCTTTGTTCCTCCAAAATTTTGGGTTGAAGCTTTAACAGCTGCAGCCTATCTGATCAATAGGCTTCCCTCTCGGGTTCTTCATCTTGACTCTCCTTATTTTCGCCTCCATCAACATCATCCTGAGTACAATGATCTTCATGTATTCGGATATGTTTGTTTTGTTCACTTACCTCCTCTTGAACGTCATCAATTCTTTTCTAAATTTGCTCGATGTGCATTCCTTGGCTATAGTGCATCTCAGAAAGGCTTCAGTTTTATGATTTAGCTGCTGAGAAAATTCGTATATCCAAGAATGTCATCTTTTATGACCATCAGACCTATTTTCAAACAGTACCTCCTCCTCCTCCTTCTCCTCCTCATCTCTCTACCACTTCCATTCACTCGGTTTAAGCCTGGTAAGGTGTATGTTCGAAGAGGCACCATTCCCTCTCTTGCCGTCATTTGCTCCTGGTGAGGATGTGTTGTACATGTGGCTCATATAGAGTGGAACACAAGCCCTGGATCAAATGGGCCGATGATGGGTCCTCAAACTCAGCTAGTGTTGTAGAAGGAGACTCGGATTCTGGAGATGGAGATATGTTATCAGTCTCTGCAGGTAATTCTGTAAAATTAAATGACTGTTGGGTACTTGATTCAGCCTGTTCATATCACATGTGTCCTCACCGGGATTGGTTTCATTCATATCGTTCTGGAAATTTTGGATCTGTTCTGATGGGTAATGATGCATCATGTAAGGTCATTGGAATGGGGTCTATAAAATTTAAAATGTTCGATGGTGTGATAAGGACCTTGGAAAATGTTAGGCATGTACCTGAGTTGAAAAAGAATCTAATTTCTTTAGGCACTTTAGACACAAACGGTTACTCTTATAAGTCAGAGTGTGGGGCTCTAACAGTGAAGAAAGGGGCTATGATTGTGATGAAGGGTCAGAAATTAGTAGGGAATATCTACAAACTACCCAGGGATACAGTTGTAGGTGGAGTTGTTACAGCAGAATCAGAGTCAGATGACACTCTTCTATGGCATATGCAACTGGGGCATATAGGAGAACGTGGCATGATTGAGCTTCACAAGAGAAATTTGTTGAAAGGGGTAAATGAAGAAGTCTTTATACGGGCTTAAGCAGTCTCCACGGCAATGGTACAAGAAGTTTGACTCTTATATGATTCAGATTGGCTACAGTCATTGTGAGTATGATTGTTGCGTATACTACAGAGTTCTTGAGGATAACTCATATATTTTCAAAATACAGTTCAAGATGGGAAAGTACAAGACAGAGGGAATTCTTGATTATGTGCACTCAGATGTTTGGGGACCTGTGAGGGAGTTGTCCAAAGGTGGATCTCAGTACTTTATTACTTTCATTGATGACTTTACTAGAAAAGTTTGGGTATATTTCATGAAGCACAAGTCTGAAGCCTTTGCCAAGTTCAAACTATGGAAAGCAGAAGTAGAGAACCAGATGGGCAGAAAAATTAAGTATCTGAGGACAGATAACGGTACAGAGTATACAGATTCACAGTTTCTGAGATTTTGTGAGGAACATGGTATTCAGCGGCACTATACAGCTCGCAAGACACCGCAACAGAATGGTGTTGCGGAAAGGATGAACCCAAAGAGTGAAGAAGATGTTGCAGAGATGTCAAAGGTACCTTATGCCAGTGCAGTTGGATGTTTGATGTATGCAATGGTGTGTACCAGACCAGATTTAGCACATGCAGTCAGTGTGGTTAGTAAGTATATGGCTAATCCTGGTAGAGAGCATTGGAGAGCTGTAAAGTGGATTTTCAGGTACTTGAAAGGTACAATGGAGTGTGGGATCATGTTTGAGAGACAACATGGTGATATTTCAGCTCAAGGATATGTAGATGCAGATTATGCAGAGGACTTGGATGACAGAAGGTCCCCTACAGGTTATGTTTTCACACTCGCAGGTGGGCCCATATGTTGGAGGTCAATGGTGCAATCAATTGTGGCATTATCTACAACTGAAGCAGAATACATGGCGGCAACTGAGGCAGCCAAGGAATTATTGTGGTTGAAAGGGCTTGTCAGGGAACTTGGAATCAAACAAGATGGAATGAAGCTGTACTGTGATAGTCAGAGTGCCATCTTCCTAGCTAAGAATCAGATTTATCATGCAAGAACCAAACACATTGACGTGAGATTTCATAAGATAAGAGAGTTGGTTACTTCAGGAGAGCTGTTGTTAGAGAAGGTGCATACCTCAGAAAATGCAGCAGACATGATGACAAAGCCAATCACAATGGATAAGTTCAAGCATTGCTTGAACTTGATTAACATCTCTAACTGTTAGAGAAGATGTGTCCCAACCCATTGGTCCTAGATGGTGTGATTTTTTCCAGGTTATGTTTTTTCTCCTAAAGGGTGAATATTCGCCAAGGTGGAGATTGTTGTACATGCGGCTCATATAGAGTGGAACACAGGCCCTGGATCAAATGGGCTGATGCCGGCGCGGAGCGGAGCGACGGCATCGGCCTTGCGCGGGTTTAATTCACTGTCTGGTTGTTAGGGACGCTCAATGGGTTGGGGGTGCGGGGGCAACGCCCCCGCGGTACGGTACAGGGGTATTTTCTGTACGGGCCTTAAAGTTTTATATGGGCCCAGATTAGGGTTAGTATAAATAATATGTTGTAACCCTATTTTTCACAACGGAATAAAGAAATCTCCGCTTCGCTCTCGTGGACGTAGGCACATCGCCGAACCACGTAAAATTCTTGTGTTGATTTCCGTTTTTCATCTCTTTAATATTGCGCATAAAATCCAACAGGATGTTTCTGAGCCTTTATTACTCAGTTCTTGTAGGGTCTCAAAATCGCTTAAGTTGTATGGCTTTCAGTGTTCTTCTCCTTACAATGCACTAACAGCCACATTGTCTTCTATTACTACTCCCACAAGATATACACGGGCTGCCAAGCATGAGTGTTGGCAACAAGCCATGCAGGAAGAACTTCGGGCACTAGAGGATAATCATACTGGGATCTTGTGAATTGTCCTCCCTCTATGACACCACTTAGCTGCAATTAGGTTTATGCAATCAAAGTTAAGCCTGATGGCAGTTTGGATCGCTACAAGGCTCGCTTAGTTGCTCTTGGGAATCATCAGGAGTATGGTGTGAATTATAAGGAGACATTTGTACCGATTGCCAAGATGAAATTTTTTTTCTAATTGTTCTTGCAATTGCTACCTCTCAGACCTATCTTTACATCAGATGGATGTACAGAATGCTTTTCTTCATGATGATCTCAAGGAAGCTATCTACATGAAACCTCGTCCTGGTCTTCTATCTTCTCCTACAGTTGTGTGCAAGCTTCGGAAGTCCTTGTATAGATTGAAGCAAGCACCTAGGGCGTGGTATAATAAGTTTTGCTCTACTTTACAGCAGTATTTTTTCAGTAAGAGCAAGTATGATGCTTCCATGTTTCTGCACAAGTTCTGCAGGCATTGTCATGCTCTTGGTGTATGTGGATGATGTTGTTATTACTGGTTTGACACTGACTTGATTGCTAGCTTAAAGGCTCATTTACAAGCTTTTTTTGCATGAAAGATCTTGGTCATCACACGTATTTCTTGGGCCTCGAGATTCAGTATACTCCTAGTGATCTTTTTCTTAATCAGCATAAATATGCCACTGATTTTGTGGCATCTGATGGATATATTGATAGCTCTACCAGTGACTCTCCTATAGAGATGAATGCTAAGCTACGTAAGGAGGATGGGATGCTTCTTCCTAATCTTTCTCTATGTTGGACATTAGTTTGGAGTCTTGTATACCTTACTATTACGCGCCCTGACTTATCATTTGCAATCCAATAAGTCAGCCAGTTCCTTCAAGCTCCTACTCATCTTCACTTGATCCCGGTCAAGAGATTGATTCGCTATGTGAAAGGAACTCCTTCTCTTGGTTTGTTCTATCTTACTAAATCTTCCATAGTCGGCTTATAGTGATGCGGACTATGTTGGTTGTGCAGATACTTGCAGGTTTACTACTAGTTGGTGTATGTTTCTGGGCACTACTTTGATTTCTTGGAAGAGTAAGAAACAGGATCAGGTCTCCAAGTCTTCTACTGAATCAGAATACTGTGCAATGTTCCAAGCTTGCTCTGAGATTCTATGGCTTCGTGATATACTTGACGAACTTGGTTTCTCTCAGCTCGATCCCACACCATTACATGTTGATCATACGAGTGCAATTCATATTACTACTAATCCTGTATTCCATGAGCGTACCAAGTATTTTGAAGTCAATTGTCCCTTTATTTGTGATGCTTATGAAGATAAAGCTATTTCTCTCCCACACATCACTAGTGATTTGCAATTGGCTGACATCTTCAGTTTCTTCACTAAAGCTCTTACTTCCAAGCGCCATCGTTTCTTACTAGACAAATTGATGCTTCCAGATTCCTCTGCATCAATTTGAGGGGATGTCAATTGGGCGTTATTATTTCTCAAATACTGTGCTGATTGAATTTCCATGTATAGAGAATATGACTGATCTAGTTTCTATGTATAGAGAGAATGTGGCTGATCTGGTTTCTATCTATAGCTGGTAAATATGGTTATGTGTATTTCTTTTCTTCTTCTGTACCTGCCTATGTCTATATAATATAGAAAACCTACCTCATTGAGGAGGCACTTCGAATCAAATTGACAAGAATGACAAAGAATAATTGTATTTTATTGTACTGAAGCTTCTTGTAACTGTAGTTAACAATCTTTTCAATCACAATGCTTGTGTACTTTCAGATCAAGGAGGAAAAAGAATGCATCAAGTGGTGAAAACATAGAGTCTGTTACTGTAGGTAACTCACTTTCTCTTCAAGGTGATATTAATTTTAATGAGTGAGAAATTGCAGCTTATCTTAGATTCTGATCTCTCTCAAAACAGAACATACTACCTTGCCTATTATTGATGAAGTTGATGATCTATTAAAATTTGGATGTAACAATAAAATATTTTTGCATTTTGGCTGTTAGACAGTCTGATTCAGTAGAGAACACCCACACTGAACTTAGTTTTGGTTGAGAGCTAGACAAGTACTATAATATGACGTTGTAGTTAGGTGTCAGGCTTGTTTTACTGCATATTTTGCTTCTAACTTAATTGTTTGTTTCCTGTTTATGACATTGACTGTTGTTTAATAAGGTCAAGGGACCAGTGACGGGAAAAGGGCTCTGTACCATTGCAACTATTGTAACAAAGACATCACAGGGAGAATTCGTATCAAGTGCGCTTTATGTTCTGATTTTGACTTATGCATAGAATGTTTCTCAGTCGGAGCCGAGGTTCATCCTCACAAAAGCAATCACCCATACAGGGTTATGGTCAGTACTACCATCTGAAGATGGTACTTTTACAAAACTTAATTCAAAGAATCCACTACCCTAGCTCTGAAGTTAATTTATCTTATCTCAGACGTTTCAGATAAATATGTTATTCCATTTGTTTCTACGAGAATATAGCAATTTTTACTAGCAAAACATTCCATATTTTGATTCCACAAGAATGTAAATTCTCTTAGCAGTTATCTCTTTATAAATGGATTTGCATGAGATATAGTGCTTCATATTGTGCAATTTTTCCGTGGATTTTGGTTTCCTTTCAAATTTGCCAGAGAAAGTTCGTTGTACATTGCAAAGGGAATAATGTGCCTTTTATCAATCTTTGTCCCAAATATATTGCCATATGGATCATGTGTTATATCTTTCTTATCCTATATTATGTTTTTCAGTTATTCTAAGTTTCCAAGTCACACAAGTCTTCCATACTAAATATTGCTGCAATGCTACCCAAGGGATGTATCCCCTGGTAGTTCTTATGATTTTGCTACTATCATTGGAACAGGACATCTTATCATTTCCTCTCATCTGTCCGGATTGGAATGCTGATGAAGAAATGTTACTTTTGGAGGTGTTATGTAATCTCCTTTTTAAGTGTTTATCATCTCATTAATCAGTGAAGTATTCTTATTTCTTTTTTGAAAGTGTTATCTCACTTGGCTTCTGTGTTCTGCTTTGCTTTATTGTATATCACATAACTAGGGAATTGAGATGTATGGCATGGGAAACTGGGCAGAAGTTGCTGAGCATGTTGGGACAAAGACGAAGGAAGTGTGCATTGAACATTATAGGAATGCTTACCTAAACTCTCCTTGCTTCCCTCTACCGGTACAGTTAGATGCAAAACTAAGTTATTTCTAAGATTTGATTTTCCTTTCTTGCAACTGACTCAAAACACATTTGATTTCTCAGGATATGACACATGTCGTTGGTAAAAATAGAAAAGAACTGCTTGCTATGGCTAAAGGGCACCTTGAGGATAAAAAGGGTAACTTCTCTCTCTCTCTCTCTCTCTCTCTCTCTCCCTCATGGGGCATATTTTTGTGCACGTCTATTAAATATTACAATGCCTTAACAGAAAATATGAGGGAGGAATTTAACTAATTCTGTTGGGCAATGTTTCTGGGTTGACTTCTCAGCCGGCCTGTTTAGTGGATATGTGGACTGCAATTGATTGCTTAACACAAAATGTTATATGATAAGGATGTTCAGTTGTGTAGAATTTTAGCTATGCTATTGGTTTTAACTAATAAAAAGTTATGTAATTTCGATTGTTTGTGGTAAAGGGAGTGCTACCAGTCTTAATGTAACACGTTATTCTTTGTCTAATTTTTCGTTACAATGATTTTGCATCTGTTGTGCATGTGACTCATATAGAGTGGAACACAGGCCCTAGATCAAATGGGCCGATGCCGGCGTGGGTTTAATTCATTGTCTGGTTGCTAGGGACGTTGAATGGGTTAGGGATGCGGGGGCAACGCCCCCGCGGTACGGTGCATGGGTATTTTCTGTACGGGCCTTAAAGTTTTATATGGGTCCAGGCTATGGTTAGTATAAATAATATGTTGTAACCCTATTTTTCACAACTGAATAAAGAAATCTCCGCTTCGCACTCGTGGACGTAGGCACATCGTCGAACCACGTAAAATTCTTGTGTTGATTTCCGTTTTTCATCTCTTTAATATTGCGCATAAAATCCAACAACTGGTATCAGAGCCAGGTTCACATGGCGAGTTCTTCGATTGCAAAATTTGATGTGATGAAGTTTGACGGATCTGGGAACTTCGAATTATGGCAGCGAAGGGTGAAGGATTTGTTGGCGCAACAAGGGATGATGAAGGCACTATCTGGGAAGAAACCAGAGAGTACGTCAGATACCAATTGGGAAGAGCTCGAGGCGCGAGCAGTTGGTACAATTCGGCTTTATTTGGCGGACGAAATCATGTATCACGTCATGGACGTTGAGTCTCCGACGGAGGTTTGGGAGAAATTGGAGAGTCGTTATATGTCAAAGTCTCTCACGAACAAGCTGCATCTAAAGCAGCGACTGTATGGGCTGAAGATGTTGGAGGGTACGGATCTGATTCAACACACCAATGTGTTCAATCAGATCATCAGCGATCTACTGCGACTTGAAATCAAGTTTGATGATGAAGACAAGGCAATGATTTTGTTGTGCTCACTGCCTCCTTCGTACGACCATCTGGTGACCACGTTGACGTGGGGTAAAGAGAGACTCGAATTGGAGGAAGTCATATCAGCCCTGTTAGCCTACAACCAGCGGAAACTGCATACTGGTGAAACTTCACAGGGTGAAGGGTTGATCGTAAAAGGCTTCCAGGATCGTGGGAGAAGGAAGAACAGAGGTGTTTCTTTTAGAGGGAATACAAGATCAAAATCTAGGAATCAAAATAAGAAAAACGTCAAGTGCTACAAATGCCATCAGATGGGCCACTTTTAGAGAGACTGTCCCAATAAGAAGTAGAGTGATGAAAGGAAAGGTGATGGGTCCTCAAACTCAGCTAGTGTTGCAGAAGGAGACTCGGATTCTGGAGATGGAGACATGTTATCAGTCTCTGCAGGTAATTCTGTAAAATTAAATGACCGTTGGGTACTTGATTCAGCCTGTTCATATCACATGTGTCCTCATCGGGATTGGTTTCATTCATATCGTTCTAGTAATTTTGGATCTGTTCTGATGGGTAATGATGCATCATGTAAGGTCATTGGAATGGGGTCCATAAAATTTAAAATGTTCAATGATGTGATAAGGACCTTGGAAAATGTTAGGCATGTACCTGAGTTGAAAAAGAATCTAATTTCTTTAGGCACTTTAGACACAAACGGTTACTCTTATAAGTCAGAGTGTGGGGCTCTAACAGTTAAGAAAGGGGCTATGATTGTGATGAAGGGTTAGAAATTAGTAGGGAATATCTACAAACTACTCGAGGATACAGTTGTAGGTGGAGTTGCTACAGCAAAATCAGAGTCAGATGACGCTCTTCTATGACATGCGACTGGGGCATATAGGAGAACGTGGCATGGTTGAGCTTCACAAGAGGAATTTGTTGAAGGGGGTAAAATCATACAAGTTGAATTTCTGCAAGTTTTGTGTACTTGGAAAACAGTCCAGAGTACAGTTCAAGATGGGAAAGCACAAGGCAGAGGGAATTCTTGATTATGTGCACTCAAATGTTTGGGGACCAGGGAGGGAGTTGTCCAAAGGTGGATCTCAGTACTTTATTACTTTCATTGATGACTTCTCTAGAAAAGTTTGGGTATATTTCATGAAGCACAAGTCTGAAGCCTTTGCCAAGTTCAAATTATGGAAAGCAGAAGTAGAGAACCAAGTGGGCAGAAAAATTAAGTATCTGAGGACAGATAACGGTACAGAGTATACAGATTCACAGTTTCTGAAATTTTGTGAGGAGCATGGTATTCAGCGGCACTATACAGTTCGCAAGACACAGCAACATAATGGTGTTGTGGAAAGGATGAACAGAACAATTGCAGAACGGGCAAGATGTTTGAGGCTGAACGCAGGGCTCTTGAAGAGTTTTTGGGCAGAAGCAGTGAACATGGTATGTTATGTCATAAACAGATCACCACGAGCAGCACTAGATGGGAAAGTTGCAGAGGAAGTTTGGACAGGTAATGAAGTTGATTATTCTGAATTAAGAGTATTTGGTTGTCCGGCGTATGTGCATATATCTAGTGATCAGCGATCCAAACTTGATCCGAAATCAAGAAAATGCATTTTTCTGGGCTATGTTAAAGGTGTAAAGGGATACAAGTTTTGGGATCTAGAGGCAAGGAAGATGGTGATAAGTAGGGATGCAGTATTTGATGAAGCATTCATGCTTAAAGCTTCCATAGATAAAGAGAAGCTCAATTCAGACGAGGGCAGAGGTAAAAGCCAAGTGGTGCAAGTAGAGCTAGACAATGTTAATACAGAAATTAATGCTCAGGGAGCAGATAGTTCTGGGTCAGAGGTAGAGCAGTATCATAGTGTTGCCTTAGATAGACCACGTCGCACTACCAAACCACCAGCAAAGTATGGATTTGAGGATTCAGTTTCTTATACACTCATTACCAGCAATAGCGATCCTATAACTTTTCAGGATGCCATTGGTAGTCAGGAGAAAGGTAAATGGATAGAGGCTATGACGGAGGAAATTGAGTCACTGCATAAAAATGATACTTGGGATTTGGTGGAGCTTCCAGAGGGGAAGAAACAGATAGGGTATAAGTGGGTGTATAGAAAGAAAGAAGCAATGTCAGAAAAGGAAGGAGAAAGATACAAGGCTCGATTAGTAGCAAAGGGATACTCACAGAGGAAAGGAGTAGATTATGATGAAATTTTCTCTCCAGTCGTCAGACACTTCCATCAGGATTGTTTTGGCAATGGTGGCTAATTTTGATTTGGAGTTAAGAGCAGCTAGATGTGAAAACTGCTTTCCTTCATGGTGATTTGGAGGAACAGATTTTCGTGGAGCAGCCAGAAGGGTTTATGGAACCAGGAACAGAGAATCTTGTGTGTAAACTGAAGAAGTCTTTATACAGGCTTAAGCAGTCTCCACGGCAATGGTACAAGAAGTTTGACTCTCATATAATTCAGATTGGCTACAGTCGTTGTGAGTATGATTGTTGCGTATACTACAGAGTTCTTGAGGATAACTCATATATTTTCTTGATGTTGTATGTGGACATGTTAATTGCTGCCAAGAATATGGATGAGGTAGACAAATTGAAATCTTTGTTGAGTAGTAAGTTTGATATGAAAGACTTGGGACCGGCTAAGAAAATTCTTGGCATGGAGATTAACAGAGATAGGAAAGCCAGAAAATTATGGGTTTCTCAGAAAAACTATTTGAAGAAAGTGTTAGAGAGGCTTAGCATGTCAGATGCAACATCAGTTGTCACACCACTTGCAAATCACTTCAGATTGTCTAATAATCAGTGCCCAAAGAGTGAATATGTTGCGGAGATGTCAACGGTACCTTATGCCAGCGCAGTTGGATGTTTGATGTATGCAATGGTGTGTACTAGACCAGATTTAGCATATGCAGTCCGTATGGTTAGTAAGTATATGACTAATCCTGGTAGAGAGCATTGGAGAGCTATAAAATGGATTTTTAAGTACTTGAAAGGTACAATGGAGTGCGGGATCATGTTTGAAAGACAACATGGTGATATTTCAGTTCAAGGATATGTAGATGCAAATTATGCAGGGGACTTGGATGACAGAAAGTCCCATACAGATTATGTTTTCACACTCGGAAGTGGGCCCATATGTTGGAGGTTAATGGTGCAATCACTTGTGGCATTATCTACAACTGAAGCAGAGTACATGGCGGCAACTGAGGCAGCCAAGGAATTATTGTGGTTGAAAGGGCTTGTCAAGGAACTTGGTATCAAGCAAGATGGAATGAAGCTGTACTGTGATAGTCAGAGCGCCATCTTCCTAGCTAAGAATCAGATTTATCATGCAAGAACCAAGCACATTGATATGAGATTTCATAAGATAAGAGAGTTGGTTACTTCAGGAGAGTTCTTAGAGAAGGTGCATACCTCAGAGAATGCAGCAGACATGATGACAAAGCCGATCACAATGGATAGGTTCAAGCAATGCTTGAACTTGATTAACATCTCTAGCTATTAGAGAGGATGTCTCCCAATCCATTGGTCCTAGATGGTGTGATTTTTTTCAAGTTATGTTTTTTCTCCTAAGGGGTGAATATTCGCCAAGGTGGAGATTGTTGTGCATGTGGCTCATATAGAGTGGAACACAGGCCCTGGATCAAATGGGCCGATGCCGGCGCGGAGCGGAGTGGAGTGAGAGGAGCGGAGCGACAGCATCGGCCTTGCGTGGATTTAATTCACTGTCTGGTTGTTAGGGACGTTGAATGGGTTAGGGGTGGGGGGGCAACGCCCCCGCGGTACGGTACAAGGGTATTTTCTGTACGGGTCTTAAAGTTTTATACGGGCTCAAGTTAGGGTTAGTATAAATAATATGTTGTAACCCTATTTTTCACAACTGAATAAAGAAATCTCCGCTTGGCTCTCGTGGACGTAGGCACATCTCCAAACCACATAAAATTCTTGTGTTGATTTTCGTTTTTCATCTCTTTAATATTGCGCATAAAATCCAACAGTTTCATAAAGAGAAAAATTTTGAATATAATAATTGAATATCACATATTCACAATTACTATTTCAAATTGCTAGTGCATCACATTAGCTATCTCTGCCTCTCTGATACTCTAAGTTGACAACTTTTGGCATTCAGCATTTTATACATAATATAATATGCTTTATATAACATTTTTTTTGAAGGTATTAATTTGTACTTGGGATTTCTTTACCAGGTGAACTTCCAGTGAAGGAGGAATCCCCATTTTCCCCCTCAAGAGTCAAGTATAATTGTTGTCTTGTATTATTTAGAAATTGTATTTTTCTTTTGGAGTATGTGTTCTGATTTTTTCTATATATACTGTCAGAATTGAAGATTCCTACAAAAATGGTCCTTTAGGTCGGTTGCCTTCTGCTTCAAATACAGGTAACTAGACTTTGATTTCATTGGTAATCATGTGCTCAAGTCTGTCAATATCAGTTGAATTGATGTTTATTATATGCATGCCTGGTCAACTTGTTGGATTATGATTCATTTTCGTTATTGATTGAGGTCCACGACCTGGGTCCAAACTGAATATGAAGACCAGAAAATAAATAGTCATGGATTCAGGCTATCTGACTCAATGAGTTTTGGGGCCTGACTTGGTTAAGATATTAAGCCCTAGTTTGATCCCCATTTTTTATATACTCATTTTCAACCACATATTCTCCCAATAAAATAATTTTACACGTAAAGCTAAAACTTTTTTCTACTTTTTAACCACACATTCTTCAAAAAATACTATTGCAAAATACGTTCTCGATAAAAATGTGGCTCAAACACACCCTAAAGATCCATGCAGATTCGGGTTCAGGTATCGTTATTGCATAATGAAATTTTGATTAGATTTGTCTAGATCCAAGTGGATTAGACCCATTGATAGTCCTTGTCTTCTTCTACAATAGAAAGAGATTGTTAATTTATTAGTACTAATATTACAGGAACTACAGACATTAAAAATGCATCCAACATGGTCCAGGTCAAGGATCAGCCTGATTCTCTAAAACTGGATGGTAACCTAAACTTTTCTTGTTTTCTGCTGTCATTGAATTCTGATAGAGTTATAACTATCTGTTTAGTTGTCAGTCATACCTTCTAATTTCTTGCAGATCATCTATCAGGCCGGAGTTTTGGCAGCAAGAAACCTAAATCTGCGGACGATGAGGGTCCTTCTTTGTTGGAGTTCAGTGGTTATAACACAAAAAGACAAGAATTTGATCCTGAATATGATAATGATGCTGAGCAGTTGCTGGCTGATATGGAATTTAAGGAAACTGACACCCAAGAAGAGCGTGAGTTGAAGTTACGTGTGCTCCATATATATTCAAAGAGGTAACTTTCCATTATAGTCTAGATTTCTTACAACTGGTAATTGTTTTAGGGACATTGAATGAATGAAGACATTCAATATTTTCCTTGTACCATGGACCCACTTTTTAATGCTCGATATCAGTGGATACAGATAAGAAGAAAAAGAGAAGATAAAAGAAATTTGTTATTGGTATAAACACACAATACTTTCCAAGTTTTCAGCCATAAGAAGTGAATAGTTATTTATTTGCGAGAATATGGTTAATGAGTAACCCATAATAAAAAGATTCATTCTATATGTTTAAATTTTGTTATTCTGCTATCTTTAGTTCATTATCTCTTGTTTTTGGTTTATCTTTGAATTCCCTGTTCCTCCAATTGTTGTCAGACTCGATGAGAGGAAACGCAGGAAAGATTTCATTCTTGAAAGGAATTTGCTCCATCCTAGTCCCTTTGAGGAGGAATTATCTCAAGAAGAAAAGGATTTATGCCGACGATATGATGTCTTCATGCGTTTTCATTCTAAGGAGGAGCATGAAGAATTACTTAAAACTGTTGTATCAGAACATAGGATTCTAAAGAGAATTCGTGAACTTAAGGTAGCGATAACCTTTAACTTGGATTCACCGAATGAAAATAAATCTCAGGCTCTACAATGTTTTTATTTTTTATTTTTTTATTAACTTGTTTTTATACTCGACAAACAAACAGAATTTACTTGGGTATTGTTTCTTGTAGTTTAGTGTAGGACTGTCCGTTTGTTCGCAAGTAATATATTTTCTGAATCAAACAATCAATGGTCTGTTTTTTAGCATTTCACACCTGCGTAGTTTGTCTAAACCATCTCACTTATAGTCAGGTTCAAAAGAATCTCTTAGTTGTTTATTGAACCCATACCCTACCCTCTGCCTGATTAGAAACAAGGATATCAATAAGTATTCTTATCTATAGTATTTTGTCAGTATTATACCTAGCTTTTCCTTTGGTGCTCATACTGACGTGCGATCAGTAATTCCCAATTACCAAGCAACAATAGCCTGAATTGGAGGTTGGCAAAGGAACTATGAATTTAACTTCGGTATATGTGACAGATTCTTTATTTGGATCAGGGAAAAACTAAAATCAATTTTTAGTTGACTTTCAAAAATGGATATGCAGGAAGCACGAGCGGCTGGATGTCGTTCCTCTGGTGAAGCTGATAGATATCTTGAACACAAAAGGAGAAGGGAAGCTGAAGACAGTGGTCACAGAAAGGAAAGTTCTCAGGCTGGTCCAAGCAGTCAGGAAAGTCTCAATGTGCCAGTTTCGTCAGATTCACTTAATACGTACTCAAATACAACATCTGTAGGCCATGCTAATTCATCGTCGCTCACTGATTTGGATTTTGTCCCATTATCTGGAGCAGATTTACTTTCTGAATCTGTAAGTATGCAGTTCTTTTTTCCTGCAAAGCAAAGCAGTTTGCCATTGGGCTCTTCTTCGTTTATTTTAACCACCTAAAACGAAGCGCTACAAAGTGTCCTATCCGTGGTACCTATCTGATTATTATTTTCTGGTTTTACTGCATCATCTTTGCAGGAGAAACAACTGTGCCGTGAGATCAGGTTACCGGCCCCTCATTATCTCAGAATGATGGAGTTCATGACAATACAAATGATGAGCGGCAATATTAATCAGAAATCCGATGCCTATTCCTTCTTCCAAATCGAACCTACAAAAATAGATAGAGTTTATGATATGCTTTTGAAGAAGGGAATGGTTCAACAATAAGACTTCTTGTCAACTCCAAATGTGTCATCCATTAAAATTTTTGGTGACATCCATTTGGCCCCCGTTACATGTATTATTAACCAGCTGAAAAATCAACTTCATATTATTACTCTTGATGGGGGTGGTGCAGAGTGGATTTCTTTTCTACCCCTATACAATGAAATGCTAAGAATAGTATTTAAAGCTTGTCTGTATCAGGATGTATTGATAATATGATTTACCTTCATGAATCGCGATCCTGTGATAATTGACGATTTGATATGCTGTGAGTAAAAGCACTTTTGGCCGACGTTTAATGAAGTTTTATTTTTGATCATTCGATGTATTGATCTAATAGGGCGTGATAGTCATCATCTCCTACCCTTTGTGGCCCTGGGATAAATTTAAGATAGAAAATAGCATTCAAAATTGAACTCCATCAAGAAGTGCTACGGTCATTATTCTATGCCTTACAGTAGAAACAGTCTTGGAAATTTGCCGTGTCAAAAAATCTACGAATTCCTTGCTGTTTGTGTCATTTTTCTTGGTAAAAAAATCTATGAATCGCGTAAGTCAAGCAAATTCCGGAACCTGCACGAAATGAAAGAGGCAACAGTTGACGATGGTACGCTATAGAATGTTGCTGCTGCAGAAGAAGAGAAGCAACGAGAAATGGGATCTTTGCATGAAGAAACTGAAAAGAATAAATAATGGAGCTTGGATATCGCAGAAAGTTAACCAGAAGACGAAGATGAAGTCGAGATAGTACAACAGTACAACTCTAGACGATGGTTCACCGATAGATGAAGGAAATTATGTAATCTAAACACGGATGAACTGAACAAGAAATTCGAAGAATATATAAAGAAGATGAAGGAAGAAACCAGAATTGAATCCCAACGTCAACTTGTGGTGTGTAATTAACCTATTCTTCCAAGCAAAACAAACTTCTTCACGAGTTCAAGGACTCCCTTTTAGATAGACAGCAAAGAACTCTCACCAAATAGCTACAAGCATTTGACAGATTAAAGAAGGCTGAATGTTTCTGCAATTTTTTTTTTTTTTTTGGATACACTGAACAGGAAACAGAGATGATCAGCCTAAAAGCTGAACATTTTTTTATTTTTATTTTTTATTTTATTTTTTTTATCTCTACATTGTGTAAAATTGCTATAAAATCCTGAGAGGGCTGACCGGTTTAGGTTTATCTTACAGACTTAAACCATTTGATTAAACCATGGTGCAAAATTCTTGACTGTACACTTCCATGGGAATTGGGATTGCAAGGTTGCTAAAAAAGGAGCAAAAAAATAATAATAATAAAATAAAAATTCCTAATGTTCAAAATTCTACAACTCTGGAATGGTTGCTAAACATGGCCTCCATTTCTTACAAGTTCTTCGTACACGCGACTGACTTGAGATTCGTCTCAGATGGAGCTCGACTCCGCTTTTAATCAGCAGCTTCAACTGCTTCCTTGTCACTACTATTTTTACTCTCTGAGAGTTGCAATCCTCTGCCATATCTGTCGGCGTTTTACAGCTGGAATACTGTATCATCTCTAAACTTAGATCATCCTCGAGCTCTGTTTTGGAATGAAATGTCGATGCCTCCTTACAAAGCTGAGAATCTTGTAGAATTTTATCGCCATTGCACGAGGCTTCAACCTGCTCCTCCTCTTCCCCTCCATGAGGTCTAATTTTTTTGTGGGATTTTTGGAACTCTGTACCTATGCAGTTTCCCATTTTGCATGAAAGATGAGCGTAAAGATTACTAATATATATATACTGCTGTTTATACAGAGACTAGGTTCCACCAACCAGCAAACGTGCAGGCCATCTTTCAAAAATTATTAAATCATTCACAATGCAAGCATTTTTGGAAATAATTAGGTGGTTATGACCCTTTGAGGTTGACTTTCATACTATAATGTTATGTTCATTGTACTTTGCACCAAAGGGCACATGAAATGAAATGCTGAACGTGCAAAATAGAAGTCAACTTCTTGGAATCAAATGCGCTCCCACTTTGAGTTTACAAGGTTTTGAACTTATTCCCTTGATTTCTTTTCCTACTTCCACCTCCCCAATTTTATTGGAAAGAAAAGCTTAGTTTTGCCAACGATGCTGGTTGATTTTGTCAATTCTGACGACGATGGTAATTCAATTAGCTAAGTCATGTAAAGAGGAGGAGTTGAGCACCTTGGCTCTACGTCGAATCTTTAATTATGCCATGAGTGTACTGTATACTAGTCGGGTTGGCATTGATATCGCTTCTTATCGTTTAGCCAATTGAAGACAAGGTCGACTGACAATACAAACAAAAGAATAATGATCAAGAATAGTTATGTAAGATCGTAAAATGAATAAAATATAGTCGAGATAATGTACCATTAGCTCACAACAAACATTGTATCGACACATTCAAGATCAATTTGCCCATAATTCGCATGATTATGACTTCGGTCAAATCAATAAGCATCAGTCGACATTCCACAATGTTGTGTATAATAATTACACTTCCAAGATAAAACATGGGTAAACATTTGGCCTCCATTCTGGAAGAATTTATAAATGTTAAATTATAAATAGATAGAAATGATTAGTAGATAATTACAGATTTATTAAAATGAATGATTTAAAATAAATTTTAACTAAATTATTTATAAATTTTTTCCAAACGGATGTTTAATGTGTTCTGGAAGTGCTTAGTGGTGCAAAGTTAGATTGGACCTCTATTGGATGGGTTGGACCCATCTGGAGATGGAATATGATAGAGGTTGACTCTCAGGCCCGCAGCCCACTCTTGCTATTTTCATTTTTTTTTTTAGCAAGTTTGACACTTATCCTACTTTTCTTTGAAAATTTAAAAATATTTAATTTTTCACTTTTTTGAAAAGTACCTCATTTTTATTAAAATTCAATTCGTTTTAGTTTTTATTTTATTTATTTTATTTTTTTTAAAAACACATCATTTTCATTTAAACTCAATATTTCAATTTTTATTAGAAAACATTTTTTTATGGGTTATGTTCGGGTAATATAGGGCTTTGCTTGATGTACATAATTTTTTGTACATCAAGATGTCCCCACACTCACATGGGATGAGGCCCACTTGAATGTATAGATACCTTAATGTACAAAAAATTATGTATAAATAGATTTATTCGGGTAATATAACATTTTTGGAAAAAACTTGGGGTGTGTTTGATCGCGAGCATGTAATTTATATGGAAAGAAAATAAATATGAGGTAATTCAATTGTCTATAAATTATTTACATGGAAATTGTCAATTAAATGTGTTTGATTAATTTTATTTTCAACCTAGAAAATATTATATTTGTTCATTTTTTATTGGTAGGTAGAGAGGAGAGAGGGGGTAAATGAGAAAGAAAGAGAAAGTGAATTACCTAAAAAATAACATACTTCTTCTGAAGAAAATATTTTTCTTATTTTCAAGGAAAATATGGCCACGTGACCAAAAATAGAAAAACATTTTTCATGAAAAAAATCAATTAACAATATAAAAGTAGGAATTTAGATGAAAAAATGACATTTTCCAAACAATATATTAGCAATCAAACGCACTCTCATAGAGTAATATATGTGTTATTGTGTAACTTTTTTGATTTGTTGGTAACATGTAAGCTTCTTAGTTTACAAATATATGGTAACTATACTTTAATATGGTACCCGTAGCATTTCACGTGTTATTGTTTTAATCCATACTATTCCATAATTTAAGGAATTATAAGTATCAAAAAACTCCTCAACAAAGGAAGAACATGCAACTTTCCTCATTTCATTTGTTGAAAGGAAAAAATAAAAAATAAAAAAATCATAACACTATCAAAATCGTGGATTCATTTCTTAAATTATCAGGAACTCTTGCATTTCGAACGTTAGTTAACCCTTCAACATTTCGACTCATTAAGAGTCTGTTTGGAAGTGATTTTGAGAATTGATTTTTTGACCGTTAGGAGAAAAGTAGGGTTCACCCGTGAGAGAAGAAGTCAAGTATAACGACTAAAATAGTGAAAAAACGGTTAAAAATTTAATTTTTTGAAAGAAAAAATCGTTCCCAAACAGACCCTATGTTTCAATATTATGCAACAATTAGAAAATTGGATGATTGTTCGTACCGTAGTAATAAAATAAATAATTATAAAAGGCTTGATAGCACAAACACACACCTTTACAAAATCTACCCCTACACTATCCTTTTTTTCTACAACAATGGACAGAAATTTTCGACTTTGTTCACTTTTATTGTTACAAGAGCTCTAATGCATTATTTTCTGACTTCAAGTTTGATTTTCTTGAATAATTTTTTGCCATTTAAAAAAAAAATTAATACTTCAATTCAAACGTATTGTAGCGGTCATTCTTGCATCATCGCATGTATTGTTAATAGTTATTGTAACACTCGCCAAAATAAATAAAAATCCCTTGACCCCGTCTCTGGTTTCCCAGATTTTTCCTCTTTAATAATGTTTGATATACAATATGATAAAAATCAGACTAGTAGCGCTTTGGTTATTTTTGGAACTTAGGATGATAGCATAGTACGATTTTGATGTTTTGTTACTTTTGTGGACTCACAATCATTTCGTGCACGTCAACTAATTGTATTCTGTCTCATTGAGATTCTTCCACACAAGTCAATTTTCGAGGTTTTATTTCTTATTGGTAATTTTTTATACCACAATCGAGTCTTGATTGACACAATCTCTTTGTTCTTCTTCTTTCTTCTTTCGATGTTGATATTAATTTGACTTAATTTTATAGTAATGTCAAGGTAATAGAGATGCCATATAGGCAAAATTTGAGATAGCAAGTGTAAACCTCAAAGGGAAGGAGAGGGGATGGGGTCCTTAATTGATGAGGCTAATTAGTGTAGGCCAAGTTCCTCAACAAAAATGTAAGAATAAATTGAACCAATGGTCCTCAATCTTCAGTAATTGGAGCACTCCAGCCTACCATTTTTGTTGCAATCATGCCCCTAAATTATCAAAACTTAACAGAAAATATTTATTTGAATGTTAAATAACCACAAGATATTCATGTTATGTCTGATGAGTTGAAGAGAGGTAGATTTCAATACGCTAAGAATTTTTATCTTATTCTAAAGTTTAAATGAAAGTTGAAGACATTTTTGAATTGTTTTGGAATTAAAAAATATATAAATTTGGATAATTTTATCATTTTCTTCGGCATTACAAGAGTTTTGCATGGTCATTTAACGTTCAAATGAACATTTTCAATTAACTCGAGACATGGGTACTAAAGGATGGTAAGTTAATTAATCAAAATGATA